AAAATTGGTGGAAATTTTTACCTAATAATTAACATACTTCAAAGTCAACAAAAAATAGGAGAGACTTACTAAAATAATAATCATCAAAACTATTTATTACTTCAAAGATGGTAGGAATATAACATTAAGCATACCTTTCAGGAATTGTGGACAATCTTCTTTGCTTGTTGCCTTTTCCCTAATCACACCTTCGTACACTACCACCTTCAAATCACAATTGAAAAAGAATGTAAGACAAAAGCAAACAGAGGAGCCTTTGCAAGATGGATTGTGCCTAAGGAAAAGATTGAGAGAAACTAATATAAGGGCCATAGTGTGATCTGCACAACTATAATAGAACATTATGACTAATGATGACATGACCTAACTAGGATACAACTTCAAACAGAGGATGACAAACTGAAACCATGTTACCAATTTTTTGACAAAATAGGATGAACTAAAAAAAAAATTCTGAATTGTGGTTCACTTTCAAGAGAGAAATATCTAAATGCATGAAGGTCTCTCAAATTCATGAAGTTTGTAAAGGAACTTATCAAATGGGCTTTACTGAATCTAATACATAATTTTCATACAAGTGGTAAATGCCTAAGTGGAAGTAACACATCTTTTATAATGGTCATCCCTAAGGTTTGGAAAAGTAAAAACCTATACCAATGTTCGGTAGTATATACAAGATCATACAATATCCTACCCAAAGACTGAATACTGTACTATATAAAACAGTAGACCAAAATTGGTTTCCATTTATAAAGGGTAAATAAGTGATTGAGAGTGTGATAGTAGTCAATGATGTTGTGGATGAAGTAAGAAGATAAAATAAAAACAAATAAAGTGTTGTAAAGGTTGATTATGAGAAATATGATTGAGTTAGATGACATTTCCTACATCACATGATTGAAAAAGTAAGCTTCTACTTTAAATTTATAAACTGGACAAGGAATGTTTGGGGTATTGTTTACTAAAGAGTTAAAGTAATAAGTAAGGATTCCAAACCAACCAGTGGGTGCTGCTTGCAACACTCATTCTAATGTGCAAGAATTTTTGAGAGCATTGATTAGTTTGAAAGTCAGGAAACTGAAGTTAGCATTTGTTTTGACTCATTAAACATGGTTCATTGAGTTTTAGCCAACTATCTTGTTTCTTTGGTATGGTTGTTGATTTCACAGGCATGGTTGTTCTTTTATGACAGCTAGAGGGAGACAGCTAAGATGTTTGAAGGCAAAAGTAGATTTTGGGATGGAATTGGTTGGTGTGCAACAATTATTGTTTTTGTGACAGTGTTAAAAAAACACAGTGTGTTCAAAGATCTTTACCAAATAAACTAGGAGTGCAGAATAAAATTCCTAATTCTAGGTAGTCTAGGTAGCCTAAAATGTGCATAATGAGTCAAAACACAACCACTATGGGAGTTTGAGTCAGATGTATTGTTATCTCATTTAAGGAGCTCCAGCTAAAGCACTGTGGATTGGTGTCAGACAACTGAAGGCTACATATTAAAAAGCAGAAACACCGGGTAAGGCAAACAGCTTTTTAGTTACCCTTATATTGTAAACCGAATATATGTTAAACAAATTATGCTACAATGAAACTGCCCCATCATTTTATAGATCTGAAAGACAAAATAGGATCTCAGAACTGGAGGAACTATATAAAATTTGCAAGCACCTAAAAGGAGAGACAGCCTTTACCTTGCATCAAGAATTTTCTTTTCTTGTACCAATGGGTAGTAACCTATGAATAAATAATATAGATTCTAACAGTGTAACACTGTCAGCTAACTATATCTAATCACAAACTATCATGTATGAGTATGGTTTCGATTAGTTGATAGTGCAAACTGATGGATCTTTTAAAGTTTTGAGTTAAGGATGATGTCAATCTTTTATTATGAGATTAAACTCAGGTTTTGTTGGTGTTAAAACTTTCCAATGAATTTTCCTTCAAAAGATCCATCACAAACTTATATCAACTCGTATCAATATGTTTATTAAAGTCATACCAAATAACGAAATAAATGAACTTGAGCCGATTGGAGTTGATGGGGGCCAAGTTTCCATAGATTCAATTAAGAAAAGTGCTTAACTAGACAAAATTTCTGTGACACCAGTGGTTTGTCAAAACAGGAACTGGAAAAAATAACATTCAAGTCGTTGTTGATAAGGGGAAGGTTGTGGAAATTAGTGGACCGTGGAAGCAGCAAAGAGACTCAAAGGCCCATGACTGGAGGTGTGGCCATTGGTGGGAACATGGATATGTGAGAAGGCTTCAGATGCCAGAGGATGCAGATTGGAAGAATATAGAAGCATACATACATTACGACATAAACTTAGAAATACGTATTCCAAAGAGCAAACAACAATCTTTTGCATTCTTTTCAGAAATCTGTTATCAGGAAGAGTTGGGACAGTGTTTAGGATGTGTAATTGATATGTGAATTTATATATAAATATATATATATATACCTATATAGTATTAAGACATCAGACCCCATATCATATGGCTGAGATTACTTGCAAGTGAGAGGTCAGATTTGGTGATATTAAAATCTGAATTGGTGGATTTTGATTGAACAACATATATGGTAGCCAATTGAACTGACTACACAGAATCTCCAACACTGCACTAAATTGGGGTTATTTATAGACTTACTTTTACACTACCTCAGTACTTATTTTGTTGTTTCTCCTCTCTCACTGTCTTTTGTCATTCAGCCTTGTAAGGAAGTACTGGAGCTTTCCTCTGTCTAAAGTCAGATTCTTTTGTAGCTTTCCCTAGTAGTCTCAAGAAAAATGCAGCAGTTAATGAACTTTTTTCCTTAGCTTCTGACATCTGTCACCACTGTTGCTGCTGTAGTTTCCCATGTCATCTTGGAGCTAAAATTCGGAGACCCGTTTGTTAGATCTTCAATTTGCTTTATTTTCCATTTGAAATATTATATTTTTTTATGATTAAAACTCAAGAATAGAAGTTATGAACCCTAAATACTTCTTTGATATGTTTTAATTAAAGTTTTCCTGATCTGGTGACTTTTTTTAAGAGTTGCTCCAACTTACAATCCAAATAGGAAGAAATTAAAAAGAGAATTTTGAACAAACATACATGATGAGGATGAGGATGGAGATAACATAGAAAAAGAAAAAGGTTGTATAGTGGTTGCACCAAGCTAAACCAAAGAGAAGTTTGACTCTCAATTGATTGGTGCAGTGAAGTTATGTTAATGAGCTATTACAAATTTTACAGTACTGAATTATTAGTAATCATTTAAGCAAATTGTACAGATTTGTTCAACTGCAGGAGATACAATGCTACATTCAAGCCATACTTACAGAACTCAAGAATAACCTATTCAGTATAGGGCAGCTGCAAGAAAAGGGCTTAAGCATCACAATTCAGAACAATAAACGCAATATTGTTCATTCAGAAAAGGGGTTGATTTTGGAGGTACATATGAGTGCAAACAGGATGTTTTCTCTGACAGCAATCATGAAAAGGGAATCAACAACAATCATAAAAGAGGAACCGACAACCTGTTTTCAGACAAATGAAGAAGACAACTCCCAACTCTGCCATAATAGACTAGGGCATTTAAGTTATGATGGCTTAAAAACTCTTGTCACTTAGCAAATGGTGACTGGACTATCAACAATCACAACCCCTAAGGAGCTCTGTGTACATTGCTTGGCTGGAAAACAACACAGAAATTCAATATCAAAAAAATGTAAGTGGAGATCATCTAAACGGCTACAGCTGGTTCTTGCAGATTTATGTGGACCCATTCAGCCAACATGCAGTAGTAATAAGAGATATATCCTAAGTTTTATTGATGACTTATCACGTAAAACTTGGGTGCATTTGTTAAAGGAAAAATCTTAAACTTTCTCTTTCTTTAGAGATTTCAAAACTTTGGTGGAAAAGGAAGCAGGAGAAAGCATCATCTGCTTAAGAACTGACAGGGGAGGTGAATTTTCCTCAAAAATATTTGATGAATTTTGTAGAAGTCAAGGGATAAGGAGACAGTTGACTGCTGCCTATACTCCCCAACAGAATGGGGTTACTGAAAGAAAGAACCGAACCATCATGAATATGGTTCGTTCAATGTTAATTGGAAGGCAAGTTCCAAAGATTTTCTGGCCAAAAGCCAATGAGACTGAAATATTTGTAACATGCTTTTGAGGACGAATGCAGCAATGTTTCTGCATGAGAGAGCATTAAGTGTTTCTTACAGAGATGATGGAGTAAACTATGGGAAAACTACTGCACCTGATTCTAAATTACTTGAGAAAAGATATATGGACTTCAATATTTTGGAAAAGCAACCTTTGAGTAGTTTAAAATGGTTTGATTATTGTTTTACAGAAGTAAATCCTAGAAAGGTTGTCACAGACCTAGAATAACTTGGAATGTTGCTTCACTATGGCAGAAGCGGAGTACTGTCCTAGTA